AAAAGAGGAAAGTCTCATCCGGGTCCGGCCATCCCCGTTCGGATCTGCCCCCGTCCCGCTCTGGCTTCTGGCGGCTGTTCGCAGTAGCAGATAGAGCTGACGGTTATGTTGATCTCGGATAGATGGCGCCACTAAAAGTCCCGATAATAAAAGTTTTGTCGTTGATACCAGGTTTTTGACGCATTTATGTTTATGTTGGGATGACATAATGAAAAAATTACCTTTTATCGAGCAGGTATTTGCACAACTTCCTATCCTTTTACAAGTACCCCCATTGACGTCATGCCGCGTGGTTCTCATGGCCGCCGCTCGAGGCTGGAGGTCGGGAAATATTCTAACTTTTGCCTCGCAATTACGCGGCGGAATCGCAACATTTCGAACCAAGGAGATGCGTTTTCTGTCCTTTGTGACATGACGTCAATGGGGTAGCGCTTGTACCTTCAGTTTGTTTTTCACCTTCGCGCTATTTATTTCCGGAATGCATATCCAACTAGCCCACCTTAATATTTTAAACAATATCAAAAGCAGAAGATGCAAATTCTTTCAGTTAAAATCGTTGCACTGCTCCTTTAATTTCATTTTGTGATCCATAATTTTTTAACACCAACACCGTTCTATGAAAATTACGTGGTTATACAGGCGCTTGGAAACAGCACCAAAGTATAGTACTCACAGGTAAAGTCAATCAGACAGCACGCACACCGTACAAGCAAGCTACCCACAAAAACACATTGGTTCACTGCTGTTTAGATAAGAGTTTAGACTGCCAGAGTATGGCGACGTTCTATACTCTGTTTCACCTTATGATGTACCGCAGGAAAGGCTAGAAGCGCGAGCTCCTGGCTCTGGGACACATCTCGGCTATGAGCTCGCGCTTCTAGCCTTCGCTGCGGTACAACATAAGGTGAAACGAAGTATACCTACTGTAGATGCTCATCCAGAGCTCATCCAGATTGAAACTATACCCGCGCTGCACGCCCGAACAACTTGCTCGAACGACTGTGTTGAAGAGAAAAACAGTGAAGGCCAGTCGAAAAACGATAAAAAAACAAGACATAAAAATACAACAGGCGACTTGCTGTTTCTAAAAAACGCACGTACAAAAATTGTTTTCTTCAAGCAACGTCAGCTTTGGGCGACTGTCGTCCAGGCGACCGACGCCGCAGTGTCGCGCTTCGCGGCTTCGCCTCTGGTGCCTCCAGATGCGGAACAAACGCGCCGACGGCCGTCAACTTTTTGTTTTTACTTTGATGGTCAGCTAGAAAAGTAAAGAAAAGAAAAAAATGAACGACGTTTTGCAACTTCCCGTAATGCCGATTTAGAGCGCAGCTCTTGAGGAGGAGGAGGGGAGGGTACTGAGGGGAGTGTATGCCCCTCTTCCTCATTCATACCCTCTCTTCCTCATCATAACGAAACGTCACCGTGCCGAAAAGTCCGCGCGGTGCATTATGGGAAACGTCCCATAACGCACCGCGGTGACGTTTCGGCAAGCTGCTGAAACGTCACCGTTGTGCATTATAGGACGTTTACCATAATGCACCGCGCGGTTACGCCGACGGCGACGCCGCTCAAGCCGGAGATGTTGCGCTCTAACACACACACGCACGCACACACGCGCGCGCATATGCACACACGCACACACAAAGAATGGCTCTTAGCCTCTTACCGCGATGGACGCTACGATCTACACGAGTCAATCCGTAGCTCGTAGCTGGTCTCGTGACTTCGCGTTCCCTGCGTCGCTCCGCCCACTCGGAAGGGCACGTGACACCCTCCGAGCTATGAATTAGCTCCGGTGGCTCGTAGCGTCCCTTGTGGTCCATCCTCCACACCGGCATGCCGACGTCAATTCGTGCTGTACATAGACGTGCAATATACTTTTTCTTGTTGTTGCATTATTATTTAGCTGTCTCTGCCGCCTGTTTAGTCAAAACTGAGCCACATGTCGCCACTTCGCGCCGCCACCCGCAAGAAGGTGCGGCTCACATTTTGTTACGCCGAACCGTTTTCAATGAACTGGTAACCGCCACATGAGACTACGGTTCTGTTCCGGCTCGGGTTCAATATCCAGTGTTTGATTTCGGTTACAGTTTTGATCCGGTTCAGTTAAAAATAATGGTTTTGATCCGGTGTTCGGTTCGGGTTTGGTTCGACACCCTGACTAAAAGCTGCATGCTAATCGCGCATGATTACAATAGCCGCTTTGTCGCGTCTCGCGGCGCCATGAACGACATCTTGTCCGTCTACCGTTTGGTTGCTTCACCGAGGGCGCGCCATTTTCATCCTCGAAGGAGCATAATTGCCAGTGAGACGATGAATCCGTCAATCTCCTGCAGTGCAATGATGCTGTTTCAAGAGCCACTTATCACGGGGTAGCAAATTGCTAGATGTTTATGTGGCGCCCTCGTATGGTTACCTTCCGTGACGTCATTAGATTGTAAACAACAAGCTCGATGGTGTTTGTAATCAGCATTCTGGAAACCTGAAATCATAACGGTCTCAGAGCAACACAGCCAACACCCTCAAAAATGAAGTTCTGACATTCCTCTTATTTCCGTCGATGAGACATCATTTGCTGACGTTATAGTCAGCATTCGACCAATTGTGGTAGCGACACTTTCGATCGCTCACGTCGCCCTAAATGGAAATCGACACAGCTCGCAGAAGAACCGAGCCCATTCCGTTCCCATTCCATTCTCCCCAGCTGCCTCATTCCATACCATTCTATTCGGGGGTCGCGAAAGTGCGGAATGATTCCGGAATCCGGAGTGGCAGCTCCTCAACACTGGCGGGCGGTGTGGTTTTCCCGTTTCGGGAGTTCGGTTTTGCGTCGGCCCGCCGAGCAACGAGACGGCGATGATCTTCCGGACCCTTCATCAACCTGTGAACGTTCTACTGGACTTCGGGTGCAGCAGTTCTTTTTCTAAACCTTTCCTTTTTTTTTTTTTTTTTGTCATCGGTGGATTTTGGTTTCCGGCTGCATTTGTGATGCGAGCGGTGTGTTGTTCCGCTGTGTCTTAAAAAAAGGAGTGTTTGCTTTTTTTCAAAAATACGAAAGATTTAGACAAAAAGGGCGGACAGGACAAACATCAACAACAAAGATGTTTGTCCTGTCCGCCCTTTTTTTCTAACCCTTTCGTATTTTTGAATCTATTACCAACGCGCTCAATCCAAGTTAGCTTTTTGTTCTTCGTGGCCACGGTGCCCGAAGTTTTGTTGAGCCTTATTTTTAGGTAAAACGCGTGTATGCGTTTTTTTTTTTTTTATGTGTTTAATGTTTTGTGTTTATTTCTGCGTGTCATCGTCTTCTTCGGTCGACTTCACACCTGGCGTGCACCTGTCTCTTTCCACCGGTCCGAATCTAGCATTTCTCTTCTTTTTGAGTAATTGATCGTTTCTCAAACGAAATTTTGCTTTCACTTATATTAATTTTTCCATCCGTGACACCACAAAGATACATAACTACTTTCCGTGCTTTTGCAGTTAGTTCGTTTTCGTAAAAAAAATCTTTGTAGTAACTGCCTTGCTCCATCATTATGTTTTTAAAGAGATGAGGCAGTAGTAGGTGATGATACCACAGCAATATATACTAATCAGGGATTATTGATATATAGGTTATAATTTTATATTAGTATCTTCGCGGGGTTCTGAATCGTGCCGCGTTCCCGCGCTTGCACATGCAAACCGCCAAGATGCTCATGTAACACACACACACGCGTGCGCGCGCGAGAAAGAGTAATTTTTTAATTATTTTGGTCTAGTCATATGCGTCGTGTTGTTGTTCACAATATATAATCCTTTTCTACACGGGCACCTGCACCTCCGTCCTGGGTCGCGGAACTTCCGGTATGCGGAAGTTCCGCGACCCAGGAACTTTTAACTTTTCAAATTTGGCGCCCATAACGGTGATCTTTTGGATGCGGTAGACTGGGGAGCAGGTCTCGAGTCAGCTACCGCCATCTGTTAGTAGAGTTTTAAATCTCCTTGGCTGAATTATGGTTAGATTCTTCGAATTGGGCGGCATTTCGCGCCCCCTACCCAGCGTTTGATTACAAACCTATTCAAGGGGAGACTCGGCCAGAATGGCAATGATCCTGGACTCGTTGCTCCTGTATTTTGAGAACAGGAGCCTGGAGTCGACGTTCTGAGCCCGGTCGTTCCTTCATGACAAAGATTGCCTCAGGGCCTGTTCTCTCCTCGAACCACGCCTAGGGCGACCGTTCGAATGTCTCCTGCAAAAAACGTTTACTACTCATGATGGAACTGCAAGCTCTGGAATCGACCTTCGGTCTTTCTGCTGTCACCAGCAGCTATTCCAGTATGCAAACAAATGCCGGTACGACATATCCCTGGCTTGTTCTAAGAAGTCCAGGCTGAATGAGGAGTTCTAAAACATGACTCATTTCATACTTCCTATGGCAAGTCTTCCAGTATTCACGCTAGTATCGAGCTATACAAAAACTCGTTCCATTGGCTGGAGATGCAACGTTGCAATATTAAATGGTAGACAGACGGCAATGGTAGTACATTAAATAAAGTGTGGGCCAGGGTTGAATTCAATGATCCCCACTAGGGGTCTGGATGGCGTATTGAGAAAACAGGTATGAAGCAGACAGTAGCAAGCGGCTTGTCCCGCAAGTGAGTGCTTGACAGGCTCTTCCGAGTGCTGTTTCGAACAGTTCTCAGGGAGCTGAACTTTTTCTTGTCATCTCAAGAGAGCCTGCTTGTTGTGCAGAAACAGTACATGCAGACTCTAGTAGACCCCTGGAAAGCTAAATATCTTTAGATTCTAGTTGAACAAGCGTGCACATGTCTTACATTCAAATGCCTTATTCTTGGGATTTAGTTCAAAACGGGATTATTGAAACCGAAAAGCATCAAACTTCTGGTGGCCTCACTTGCGCTAGGCTTGGAGAGCAGCTATGCACCATCCAGTCCCCCTATAGCAGAGATAAGCGGTTCAAGTTTTGTAATTATGACAGAAATGAAGACTAAAAATACCCCAGCCTGAAATTGTATTAAGCTGCGAGCACAAGACAAAAAATCAGTCACAGAGAGAACACGATCCAATGCAAGTTCAATCCAGCAGAAAGAAAGTCAATCAAGTGGTGTAGTTCCTCAATGTGCGAGCAATCTGGAGCTGGCAAGTGGCCCTCGCAGCCACCTTGCGTGCCCTCGACGTCTGGAGACTGCTCAGGGCCAGGACGAGCTGGTGAGACATCAGATGGGGCATGCTTCGCACCAGCTGAGGAACCAAGCCAAGCGGTGCAAACTGGAGCACCCTGTGTGCCTCGTCTCCAGCACACAGCACCACCTGCTCAAACAGAAGCAGCGGAAACACCGACCGCTGGCTGATCACTGAATCGGACGCAATAACCATCAGCAGCCGCATCGTGTCCACAACTGCCTTGCTCAGGGGGTCCAGGGAGCGGTAGTTCTCTTCCGAGTGGCACTGCAGTGCAAACGGGGTGTCGTCCAAAAGCTCGGAGTCATTGAGTCCCCTCCTCATTTTGTTGGGGCGCACGCGCTTAGACTCGTCCATGGCTTCTTCGAGCTCCATGTCCCAGTGCGGGCGTTTATGGCCTCCCCGCTGCGTGCCGACAGATGGCTGGCTCGTCCTGACCTGCAAGGCTGCAAAGGTTGTGAGGACAGTGAGTCTTGCCAGCGCAGAGCCTCGTGGCTCGGTAAGGCTGTCCTGTCTAGTCTCCCAGAGGAGGTAGCTGGGAAGGACTTGAGTCAGGAGTGCCAGAGCGCACTGCTCTATGTCGATGTGGAACAGTCCGAAGGAGAGGTCAATGGCACGGTGCAGGTCTTCCAGGTGGTCGTGCTTCAGGGCTTGGCGCACCAGTGTGTCACAGAACCACTGGGGTCCTCCGACGCACATCAAGGTGTCCAGACTCTGAATAGCACGCAGGTCAATCCAGCCCCGAGCGTGGGCAGCCGAGAAGACGGAGTCCATGATTTCCCAGAGCGGTGTTTTGTTTGTTAAGCCATGTGAGATGACCAAGGGGCCTTTAAGCTTCGACTGTTGCGGAGGATGCAGGTCATACATCATCTTCTTTACAATGTTTGTCATGAGCAGCGATCGTTCCTTGTACAAGGAATGTGGCTCCTGCGGGATTGGACGTTCACCGCCTCCCTCGGAGTTCCCTGAAGCATCTGTGGATAATGGAGTCATGAAGTGCTGTAGCATATTCATTGGCTTCAGCTGTTCCTGGTGATGCAGGACATTGATGTAGCTGCATAACCAAGCTGAGATGCACACGGGTAGGCAGCATATGCGACTCTTGACATTGTCGAGGATCATCTTTACACTGTCTGTCGAGATAGCACCGTGTTCCCAAGCAACCAAAATCTCCTTTATCGCCATTGGTATGTTCACGCACACCTCGTGCCACTTGACCTGGTTAGTCATGAAGTCATTGTCATTATTCATGAGCTGGGCCAGCAACAGATCTACTTTGGCAGGGTCACAGCCAGCCAGCATTTTCTCGGGGCAGTTGTAGCGCCCACCCTCAGCTAGGCACTCGGGAACCCATGTTGTAAAGAATGAGTCCCTTGTTTCTTCGTTGAAAACTACAGAATGAATTCCATAATTCTGCACAATGTGGCAGAGCATCAAAAATGTAATGTCGAACAGCAAGGTCCGAGTCTGGGCATTCCTGGTGGTTTCTCCGCTGATCTGCTTGTTGTACTCGTTGAATTTGATAAGCTTTTTCACAAAACTATTCAGCTTCCCTGTTGCTGCAGCAGCAGAGAGGATCAGCTCAAAGCTTCTCCCTGTGATCATGTGGCACAAGATCCCAAGCAAGCCATCTTGGTTCTTGGAGTAGTCTGCATCCAATGACTTGAGGATGCTCGTGACAGTTGGCTCTGCCTTCAGGATGAGCGTAGCTCCAGCCTGCGATGTTTGTGGACCTTGCCTAGCCAGGTTTTGCTTCTGAGTGTTGGCCTGCCTGCGATGCATTAGGGCTTTGGCTTGGGCTTCAGTCAGAAGCTCTACTTTCTGAAGCTCATTCAGAAGGTATTGCAAGCAATCACAATGACACTTGGAATCTGTCAGATCGAGCAATGGGGTGTAGTTGAGGAGTTGCATGAGACCGGCTTCTAACTCTTCCTCCCACTGTCGGTCGTCCTTTCGGGCACTGTGGATCTTCAGCAACAGCTGTGGAACCTTCAGAAATGTGAAGGCAGGCCACTTTAAGTCTTCACTGCTTCCGTTGGCAAGTCCCATGAAACAGGCTCGGATGATCTCACAGTAGAGCTCTGCCGAGGATAGGTTCAGAAGCTTCTTCATGAGTAGAAGATGATCAACACTTGCCTGAATGTCACTTGCTGGGTTCAGCACAGCTTCAATGGCAACGTTGGCATTCAGACTGCAAACGAGGGGCTGTTTTGGCACACGGCCGCTGACGCACGACGACAACGAAATATGCGGCATATCATCCACTAGCCTGACCAGGTTAAGTGCACATTCGAGGGTGTCCTTCGAAATGTTGAATCCCTGCGACTGGCTCAGTTTGGTTTCTAACTCTTGCTGCTTCTGCACAAGCTGCGAATACACTGCTGAATCCTCGTGCTTTCCGATGTACAACAGGGACTTGAGGAAAGTCGATTCGCTGAAAAAGCAGAGCGTCTCGCAAGCCTTCTCCAGGATAAGGCCGTGTTCTGTGCTCTGCTTCAGCTCCACGATCTTGCTGATGGAATGGCACATGCACATGTAAAGCCAATGGGTGACGCTGACGATCGCCTTGCACAGGGCAATACACTCTTCCTCGTTGCCGTGACAGGTGACTTTAGCTTGGATGCTGTACAACAGCTGCAGCAGACTTAAAATGCACGGCGGCTTAAAGAAAGACTGGAACCTGCCGATGCTGGAGAGCACGGCTCCGTAGGAGACCACTTGCGCGCTCAGGCAATGTGTCAGGTAGGAAAGGAACAAGTTGTTCGGCCCAGGGCCAACCAGCGCTTCCTGAAGGATGCAGTCCGCCAGGTCGTACACATCGCCACTCACGCCGCGAGGAAGAACGTTCTTGATGTTGATGCCCCATCTCACGTCCGTCCACCGTTCTCTCCAAGCTTGGAGCAGGAGCGACTTGATGCTGCTCGTCTTGCTGGTATCCATGGCCGTCCCCTGCTTTCGCTACTAAATTTTCTCTCGATGGGGATGAGAAATGTGGGACTACCGGCCGCGGGACACAGCAAACATTGCAAACAAGATCAGGAGGGCCGCCATGTTGGCGTCCCTTGCGTCCATTTTGTCAATTTACTCGCGATTCGTGAAGCTGCCGTGTGAGGGCGGAGAGGGCAAGCGGAAGTCGGCAGCCATGAAACTTCCGAACACGGCGCGCAGTTTCGGTTTCGTTTTTATTCACTTGCGGCCGTCTCACAGGTGCGGCAACTCAAGATAGACGTCATTTTTTTTTTTTTGTATAAAATAGCCTAAAAATAATATATGTCAGTTTAAATCTAGCAACCTGCGTGTAAAACAAATAACGGCGCAGCTAAACATTTACCACCCCTCCCCCTCCCAAAAAAAAAAAAAATGTAGGAACGGAATTACTTGTAATTCCTTACATTTATCAGTAGTTAAGTAACGGAAAAATTACATATTTCCTAGAGTAATTTTAAAGTAATTCCCTTACATTTTTTTACGTAACGAATTCCTTGTTATCTGTTACATTTTTTTTTCAGGACAAACCGCCCCCCCCCCCCCCCCTTTTCTAAAGAAAGGGGTGTTTTTATTTTGGTAAAGTCGAGCGCAGTGACACTGTCACGCGGATCGACCAGCGCAAAGGGAGGATTGACACTCTTCAGTTTTGCAAAGCCCTTTTTTTTTTTTTTTTTTGCAACACTAAGCTCTCGAGTTAATTTTTTAGACCCTAACAACAATGTAAAAAAATCCAAATTATTCTGCGAAAAAAAAAAAAAAAAAGGGGGGGGGGGCAAGTTATATTTGCTCTTTTTAGCCCCTCTGTTTTTTCTTTGCGATCGAAGGCGGGGAGAGGAGGACACCAAGTGACTGTGTGCCTCTTCGAGAACCTCGAGGCGGTAAGTGCACAAACAAGAATTAACAATATGTCCTTCGACCATTTTTGTAATGTCACAATATTAAAATCCACTAAAAGGGATGTGATAATTTGTGAAGGTGCTTTGCTACAAGCATCCTCGTTCGTTGCTGCACACTTATCTTCTCTTAAAAAGCAGGGTGTATTTTTTTATCTGCTTCTTTCACCTTATTTGACCCTGTTTTAAAAGCTTACTTTTTGTGGTCCAACTTCTAGGGTTGGCCCACTTTATTTGTGAATTCCAGCCAGGTTATCTCATCTCAGTCACCCTTTTTGTGAGTCAGGTTTTTGCGAGCACTTCGAAAATGGCAATAGTCTTCCTTTCTTCTTCCTGTTTTTACCCCCACAGGACGCATCTTATCTCAAGCAGATATTTTTATACAAGTAAAACATGGTGGTGGCTGACGTAGGCTTGATATTCTGGGCATGAGGAGAAAGTGAAACTCGTGAGTGGAGCCAAAGCGCGGCTTACTTGGTACTCTGCCCTTCGCTGCCCATGGCATCAGCGGACGTTTATCTGGAGAACACCGGAGTAAACTGCAGTCGGTCCGTGCTCCGTGCGTTTTTGAACGGCGCCAAGAAAGGTACACACGACAAACGCGCATTCACATTTCCTTGTTTTAACCGACGTTCTAATTGATTGTTGTTATGGGTGTCCTTTTTTTCGATTACTTATATGAATATACTGGAAACTTATTTTTATTCACCAACGTCTCAACCCAGGCTCGGCCTGTTCAGAACCAAAGGAAGAAGAATGTGGAGCCAAACCCTATTGATTATTTAATTATCACCTTAGTGTTACAACTATGTTTTCTTAATGTCTGGCAATATATGCCGGTATAGTAAGATGGACACAAATCAATTCTCATTCTAGTTTTGGCTAGATGTACAATGACTTCTACAGCTTCGCGATTTCGGCAATGGAGAATTTTAGTAGATTGTTCCGATGACTCCGATAACGATACACCGCCGCCGCCTTTGCGCATTCATCCTATCGTTATCGGGGGCATCGGAGGTATCGAAACGATCTACTAAAACTCTCGAATATCAGGCAACGGCTGCAACGAGGACGCTTTGCTCTATCTTCAAGGTAAATAGTACTTCCATTGCTTCGCCGAAGAAGCTCAATGCAGAGCCTAAAACATCCGTGAGGCACACTATGCCACTCCCATCCAGTGCCACAGTTAAAAAGGTGTTCATAGCAGTCGACATATTAGGGAGTTTTCGTAGACCGCGTTTCCCCCTCCGCAACGAAGAAGCCGCTACTGCGCCTGCGCGCCGATGGCCTCGGCTGTAGAGTCCCGGTATCGTAGCGGGTTGCGAAGAACGTAGCGGGACGGCAAATACGATCTGCGAAAACTCCCTATTGAGTCAGAAATAACGCGAAATGTCTGACGAGACTTTCGAGAGTCAGCTGTTGCTTCAAGGTCATTAAATAGAACAAGTTGCAACAATAAGAACTTGAATAACCCTCTTCCTTTTGTCTCCTAATTGAAGACAATATTGTTAAAAGTAACGCCACGAAAGTAACGGATTACTTTTTTGGGGTAACGGTCGCTTACTTTTAGGGGAGGGTAATTGTAATTGTAATAAATTACAATTTAGCCTTGAGTAATTGTAAAGGTAATTCCCTACTATTTTTCAGTAACGTGTATACGAGTCTGGCTCCTGGTCGGTTTCATTTTCAGTGTTCGTACGTACGGCGCGTGATTTGCTCGCTTTCCGAACCGACGAGCATGCGCGTACTAGGCTCAGGACTTGTAAATATTGGAATGGTGTAGTAGAGTAGACAGTTGGGCGAGTTGGTAGTTATTGAACATAGTTACAGTTGCGCACACAGGGACAAGGACAGAGAAGAGGAACACGTAGACGACAGACAAGCGCACACTCACAACTCATGTATTAACGAAAGAAAAGAAAGTGGTAGAGAACGCGGAATCCGCTCGAGCGGTGGCCACACAGGCACGAGGGACCACAGGCCCGAGGGCGGGGGACAGTTTTACCCCTCCCTGGCAAATTGTCTGCGGGAGCCTGCACTGTTGATTGCGCGCGCTTAGTAATGAAATTTTTTTTTTATTAGTAGATTACATTGGGAGGGGGGGGGGGGGATCCGGATCCTGGTAACCACCGTCAACCGAAAGGAGGCCTCCGATGGGAGCATCGCCGAAAGGAACGGAGACCAGCATAGAAACCTCCACATATGGTACCTCTGGCACCTCCGAAGTGCAATTTCTGAAACGTGGTAACCTTCCCAACTGGAAACGGTGCAGCCAGTGGACTTCCGATTGGGAATGGCTGCGTCCAGTTAACACCCCAACTGATCCCAGTTGAGCCCCAATGGGTCCCCATTGAATCCCAGGTAAGACCAGTTGATCCCCAGTTGGGATCATAGATTCCCAGTTGAGACCAGTCGGTTCCCAGATCGGGGATTCCAACTGATTCGAGTAAGACATTTTCACTCGGGTTTGCGCACCACCAGAACTTTGTCTCGGCGCATTTGTTTCGAAATATCAGCGGTGTTTATTCGAGGGATCACGTGACTTATGCGAGTCCTCGTGGTTGTACTCCCATATGTGCTTCCCGTAACCTCCCTTCTTATCTCCCCAGACGACAACGGTCTCGACGTGCGCTCCCTTGGCTGTCTCCATCCTGCCGACGAAGTGATCCGTGTTGCCCTTCCGGTAGCCGAAGCGGTGCTCTCCGTACGCCGGCACCTCTGCAAAGCTGCGCCAAGTTAGAAACACGGCGCATCTTGAAATACACACATTGTTTTTTCTTTTTTTTTTTTACCAGTCGTTTTTTGTACATTTTGATTTCGGCTTCAACCGTTATCATATTCAAAAAGTTATACGGAATTTTCTGAACTTTTCAAGGGCAAAATGGCGACCGATGGAGCTCTATGGCACCAAAAACAGAAAACGGGTGAAAGCGGGCCACATTTTTCCAAAGAAATTTCTAGGAAAGCACTTATAACTTTTGAATGAAATAACTATTAGTTCTGAAACTTTGGCATCTGGTCCGCTAGCGCTACATTTGGGCGGAGAATGAGCGTTCGGCGATGCGTTGTTCATTTTTAAGGTAAAAAAAAGGGGAAAGGGGGGGGGGGCAGGTGACACGCTGTTGTAGCAGCAAGAGGGAATGCTATTCATACGCATAAAATAGGTCTAGTTGTCACTGAACATTGAAGAACAATGCATCCATCTTGGTGCTTTATTTCTGCGTGACTGCGGGAGCATACGCACCTGAAGAATGGAGCCGCAGATTTGTCCTCTTTAGCGTCCTGGGTCTCCTGGGGCTCCCTAGCCTCTTCAACAGCGGCATTAGTGTCACTGCTCATATGACCTCGGAGTGTTGACGCTGCTTGGTTCGCTGAAGCGATTGGAATCAACTGTGAACCCTCTTTAGATCCGTACTCCTTGTTAGTTTCAGTCGTGCTCACATCGTTTGCAGCGTCTTGGGACGATGCAGGTGCCATTGTGGTGGTGGCCACCAGCAGTATGAAGCCTTCGCCATCAGTGACACTTTCCACTTGCTTTTCCTGAGAAACCTTGGCATAATGGTTGCTCGGCATGTCAATCCGCTTGAGGTCTTCAGCTTCCGTTGTCACTGCATTGACCCCACGTTCTGAGTCCTTCTCTTCGTAATTCACTGTGGTCAAAGGTTCTATTTCAACGCCCGTCTCTTTCTGAGCACCTTGGAACTGGACGCTTCCTTGGTCATCTGAGTTAGCGTCACCGAGGTGATCTTCTGGCCTGTTGGTGGAGCCCTCCCCTGCCGGAATTGCGTGTTCCCTCTCACTACTCTTCGTTTCCTTGGAATACTCTTCATCCGTATTCTCCAGTGGCTCGTAAGAATAGTCGCTGTAATCTTCGGGGGAGTAATCGTAGTAGTGGTCGTAGAGCCTGTTGTCTTCCTTGATGCTCGGATGATTTTTCGTCGTAGCTTGGGATTTTCGATCGCTATCATCCGGGTCCCAGTCATAGATCTGTGGCCTCATCATCGATGCTTCGGTCTTTTGATCATTTTGTTTGTTTGCGTTGTTTCTACGCAATTTCCTACTTTGGAGAACAGTGGATCCATTTTTCTTAAGACCGCCAAGGCGGTTCGGCCGAATCCTCCGTTTCTTGGGTTTAAACAGATTAGGGCCGCGGCTTGGACGAGTCACGTGGTTGGTCTTCTCAATCGTCCTCCGCCTCGTGTTCCTGGTTTCCGGTGACAATGTTGTGCTGCTCCGTTG